AAAATGTGACTTTTAATCCTCCTAAGTTCAGGAAAGCCTGACTTCCCATTCCTCAGCTCAAGGAGCTGAAAGAAGTTGCAAACTTCCCAATGTCACTGAATTGGAGGACCCGAGAACATCAAGTATTTGGAAGTTTGCTTCCCATCTCAAACCTGCAGCTCATTTGCCTTCACGTGGTCCACTGAGAGTCAACTTCAAAACATGAACAGAGGCAAAAAATCTGGGCATTAATTGGTTTGCAAATGGTTTTCTATTAAGACATAATAATATGAATATTCAAACCTGAGAAAAATAAAACCACTCAGAATGATCAAAGCTGAGGCTAAAATGCATTTCAGAAGGAACAGCAACGCCCTCACCCCACATACGCCTCTCAGCACCTTCTGGCTCTGCAACTCCCTGACTGGAGGGGGAAACCGGGGTCAAGGTTCAGAAGGAGAGGAAAGAAGGGGCAGAAGGAGAGGAAACAGCCTCAAGTTACACCAGGGGACGTTTATGTTGGCTATTAGGGAAAATTTTTCGTGGAAAGGGTTTTTCAACCCTGGCACAGGTGCCCAGGGCAGTGGTGGATTCACCACCCGTGCAGGGATTTAAAAGCCGTGTGGATTTTGCACTTGGGGACATGGGTCAGTGGTGGACGTGGCAGTGCTGGGGTACAGGTTGGACTCGATGATCTTAGAGGGCTTTTCCAACCTTAATGATTCTGTGATTCCATCTTCACAGAGAATCCTCACAGTTCACCAGCACCTCAGCCATGTATAAATGTAGCTCAGATGTTGCTGGTCCTGTGGTGGTGGTTGGGAATCCCAGAAGAGGATGAGGTCTCATGGCCAAGACTGATGGTAGAAGAAGAAACCCCAAAGGGCAGAACTGCCTTGCAAATATTTTTGCCAGTATTTTGTGTTTTGAAGCTCACGCCTTCAGGTATTTTCCTGAAGACAAATTCACCAGTGTTGTCATGAGGATTTATTTAGTCATTCCTGCAGCAAAATACTGCTACAAACCTTGCTTACCTGGCAGCTGAGCTCCTTTCTTGCTGGTGATTCTTATCTCTGAGTTGAACAAAGCACATGAAATATGCTTTCATCTGATTGGGAAGCAGGTTAGAAGGATAAGAAGAGATAAGAAGGGACTTGTTTGCCAGCAGGATATGCAAAGATTACGGGAACGTTGCATCAGTCCTGCACAACAGCAAGGTGGCTGATGGAGCCTCTGAGAGGCAATAATCAGGACTCACCTCAAAATATATGGTGCACCTCATGTGCATTTTGTTGTGACTGAGCCTCTGGCACTTTTTTTGTGTGTGTATGTTTTGTTTATACACAAACCCCCAAACCAAAACCAACCAACCAGACCAAAAAAAAAACAACCCAGACCCCCAAAAGTGTTTATGATGTTCTAATGTTATGTGAATTTTTCTGTTATCTCACCTACTCCAGCTTCTATGAGCTGGACAGTGAAATTTCATAGAATTCTGTGACTTGGAAGGGACCCACAAGGATCATCGAGTCCAATTCCTGGCCCTGCACAGGACACACCAACAATCCCACCATATGCCTGAGAGGCTTGTCCAAATGCTCCTTGAGCTCCGTCAGGCTTGGGGCCATGACCACTGCCCTGGGGAGCCTGTTCAGTGCCTGACTACTCTCTCTGGATGAAGAAATTTGACCTAGTTCTGAAGGCATGCAACCCAGTCTTGCTCTCCTTGGCATTAGAAGTAAATTTAAGCAACCTCTTCTCTCCTTACCCATTTACTGCTCTATTTCAGCCTGTAAGTCCCATTAATTTTGTTTTTTGCAGATCCCAGTTTTACGAGGGAAAACGTTTGGATTTTATTGCTATCATATGCTGTGAAGGTTTGACTCAATATCTACTCTAAATGAGAAAAGTGTATAAAAAGAAAGTGGCCTTTTCTGATCCGAGGACCTTGCACAACACATGAACATTTTGTAACAGCAGCTGGTCCAAGGGTCCTACTGGGACATGAGATCCTGGCTTTGCTTTTGAGAAGAAATTCTTGCTTGTGAGGGTGAAGAGGCCCTGGCAGAGGTTGCCCAGAGAAGTTGTGGCAGTCCTATCCCTGGAAGTGTTCCAGGCCAGGCTGGACAGGGCTTGGGGCAACCTGGTCTAGTGGAAGGTGTCTCTGCCTGTGGCACAGGGTGGAATGAAATAGTATTTAAGGTCCCTTCTAAATGTGCCTTATTTTATGCACAGAGCAGCCCCATGAGCATCTGTAAGTCCTGCTGACACACTGAATCACATTGGAAAAAAAACCTTGGTCCTGTTTCAAAACCAGCCAAACTCCCATCATCTTCCCTGGGGCCAGGATGTTACCCTGGGACTCTCTGTACTACAAGCTGTTCTGTGCAGATGGACTCTGATCCTCTTCAAAGCTTCACTGGATTTCCTGGGGCTGCAGATGGCTCGGGGATCTCCTGCATGGAGCAGGGCTGGAGCAAGTGCTCAGAGGAAAGAGACAACAGAGCCACCAGCTTGGAGGGACTGCCATGTGCTGTAGCTGGACCAGCTTTGCAGATCATACAGCCTTCTGGAGCTTTCCTACTGGGTGATGGGCCAGAAGATGTCAAACAGGAGTCAGAGGAAGACAGCAGCAAAGTTCAAACCTGCGTGTGCTGCTAAACACTGCTTAAAATTCCCTGGAGGTTTCAAGGACAAAGAGCGATGTTAAACACCTCCACTCCCTTGGAATCCACCTTTTCCTAATGTCACTGTTTTCCAAACGATGGAAAACCAAGTATCCTCTCTAATGTGTGGTGAGAAGGTCAAACCCACTGCAATTTGGGAATATGATGCTTTCGACCAGGGCTTTCCCGAGGAAAACATTTCCCATAAATTTCTGACATTTCCAATCCTGGAAAAGTACTGCTTGGGCCACGAACAGTGGTAATCAGAAGGGGAAAAAAATAGGGAGATGTCTCATATGACCACGAGATGGCAGCTGGAGCCCGGGAAGTTCTTGGTGGACACAGTAGCTCCCATGGAAAACAGAGTCATTTGCCAACCCAGCCTGCATTTGGGAATATGCACCTGCACCGCGTTGGCTTTGAACATTTCTCGTGCGTGCTCTGAGTGGGAGAGCTCTGGAATATCTGATTACCCCTTTCATTTCCCAGCTCCTCTGGGCCTTCCTCGATTAGTCAGTATCAAATAAATGGTTTTAACCAATGTAATCCCTGTTGATAGGAAAACAGCAGTGCACCTGGTTTAACACAGCTGTTAGGATCCAGGCTGCTCCGACACCTAATTCAGCAGTGATCTGGAGCCAGATGCTCTGCCCTCCTCATGCCATGACTGCTCCTGTCTGCAATTTCTCCTCAAGCTGGACTTTAAAAGGCTAATTGTGCATGTTGTTAATCAATGATTGTGTTTCATTCCAGAGGAGACCACATTTCAGCAGCACTTTAAGCAAGCCCTTGGATGCCCTTCATCCCTGCAATGCAATTGGATGGGCTCTGCAAAGCTCTGGCCTGTGGAGGTGCCCCCTCCAAGGTTTGGGAGAGAAGTCACAAGCAGTTAAACAGCTCTCGATGCAGGCAGGGTGAGGCCTGAGGCTTCTCAGCCTTGTTAAGATCCTCACAGGGACCAGAGAAATGCGAACTGGAAAGCAGCACTTTAGGGCAGAAATTAATTATCCTGGTACAGTGAAGGAATGTTCATTTACATAGATGGATTTTCAGACCGTGGAAGAAGCACATGTGGTGGTCAAGGCAGTAATTTGGAAATCCTGCTGGGAAGCCATTTGGTTTGGAGCCAGCCTACATGAGAACTGTCAGTGCATTTGGCTGCTTTCCCCAGAAGTGACAGCGTGGTACGTTCCATCCCCACCTTTCCCAGCTGCTCTGCATATGCCAACACTGCACGGGAATCCTGCCCTTTGCATCGTGGAAAATATGCTATAATTTCCATATTTCTGCCTGTGGAGATCTTCACATGGTGTTCAGCCATCACCGCCCATCTTCACTCTGTTCCACCTCTGTAATTCCCTATTGAACCATTGTTTTCCCAGTTGGGGAGCTGATAATCACGACACAAACTGCTGCAGCGCCGAGCGATTTTCTCAGCTGAGCCAGGTAACAGCACCTGCCCCTTCAGAACCGCTTTAAAGAACAAAAGAAATTGGTGTTCAGTTTATAATTCATCTTAATGTGGCACTCTGGGGTGCTGGTTGGCACAACTGAAGCCAGAGGATGATGGCATGATTCCCCCAAGCTAGGACAGACCCACCCTCCTAAAGCCTGATACCCCTCAAGATGACCACATTGCCCATGATATCTCATGCCAGAAGAAAACATACCTGCTCCTCTCCTACCTTGCTTTTACCTGCCATGAGGAGACAGTTGCTAGGAGCTGTCACGCTTCTTGCAGCAGCAGGAGGGGATTTCTTGGCAATTGGGAAGTGATAGGAAACAGTCACTGTGGGAATGCTGAGCAGAACAAGGAGAAAATTGTTATCAGCCCTGGAAAAAGGTGAAGCAACATCACAGTGATTTCTGTGCTTCTTGAACAGTTTGGTTTGTGGGAAGGGAACTGCCACCACTCTGGGTGAATTTGTTTCCTCTCTCCAAAGAGTGTAAGCTGATTTTATAGGACAGGGGAACACAGCCGGTTCAGAGCTGTTGGCTTCTCTTTTCCCTGACCTATCGTGAGTTATTTACAAAGGTTTAGACCGAGTTAAAGCAAAGATGAATTTCGGAGCCTGTGGGTTAATATCTTGCAGCTGCTTTTCTGAGGCCTGATCCAAGGACCAACAATGTTACCAGGCACCTTCCCTCTGACATCAGGGGGCATTAGGATGGGATTTATGCATTTGGCAGAGGTTTTCTAATAATTTATTTAAACAATGGAGAGAGCAGCAGTGATTCAAGTCAGGCTGAAGGTTCAAGATTAGCACTGGAGTGCCAAGTCCTGTGGGTTTGCATGTGTTTGGAAATGGGGCACTAACCTCGTGAGTGATAGAGATCTCATGGGGGGGACAATTCCCACCCTATTCTCCCCTCATTTTCAAAGCTGTTGCATCCTGATGACACCCTCTTGCCGTCCTCAGGGCTCTGTGGGTTCTCAGGAGCCAGGTCATAGAATCATAGAATGGTAGAATGGTTTGGGTTAGAAGAGACCTTAAAGATCATCTCATTCTATCCCCCTGCCATGGGCAGGGACACCTTCCACTTGAATAGGTTGCTCCAAGCCCTGTCCAACCTGGCCTTGAACACTTCCAGGAATGGGGCAGCCACAGCTTCTCTGGGCACCCTGTGCCAGGGCCTCACCACCCTCACAGGGAAGGATTTTTTTGTAATTGGGTCATGCACTGATGGATTCACACTGCTCCTGTCCCACTGCTTTTTGAGCATTATCTACAACCAGGAAGCCAAGTGTCCATGGATGCAGTCAAACATCAGCTTCTGGAGATGATTCACCTGTACAATGTGATGCACTGGGTCCGTGTGTCTCGATGTGAAGCTGGTTCTGCAGCCAGGAGCTGGGATACCAATTGATGTCTCATGCAGTATAATGAGAGAACTGAAAAAACAGGAAAGCGACCTTACAAATCACATCAGGGATCATGAATTCCAAAGCCTGAAAGCCAGGAGGTGGGTAAGGAATCACAGAATCATTTAAGTTGAAAAATCCTTCTGAGATCATGGAGTTCAACCACTTCCCCAGCACTGCCAAGGCCACCACTGTCCCATCTCCCTAAGTGCCACATCTACAGGAAGATGAAAGGAGACATGAAGAAAAGTTAACCAACATCATCTCTTGGTCATTGCAGAGGGCAGTGTCTCCCTGCAGCAGAGCTGTTTACAGGCTTCAGTGATGTCCCTGGGAATTGCTAGGCAGTGCCTGCTGTGGGATGGGGCACTGGAAAGGGAATGGGCCTTTTCTCTGCTAAAAAATACAGATCTTCTGAGCCTTTGGGGTCTCCCTCAGCATCTCCTAAGCCCTCCCACAGTGCAGATGCAGTGAGAGGATCAGTGGGAAGAGGTGTGGGCTGTCATGTCCCAATTATACCCTCTGCTAGAGAGGACCCAGTGTGAGACTGCTGGAGTTCATAATGGAAGTGGAGCTGGAACTCAGTGATCTTTAAAGTCTCTTCCAACCCAAACCATTCTATGATTCTATGATCCTTTTTGCTTTCCTGTCCTGGCAGCATGGATTTGGCAAACCAGTGGATGAAAACTTGGAAGATCCCCTGGTTTTAATGCTCCTTGAGCATGTAAAGAGCAGCTCCTTCATGCAACCTGCTCTCTTGAAGCTGTTGGGGCAGGGCAGCTGAGCTCTTTTCAGGCATGAACACCAGTCTCTTGTAGGGATGTTGCTTCTGCAGCCTGGCCAAGGGAAGCACTTGCACAACTGCCAGCCCATCCCTTGGCCTGGCTGGGCCACAGCTGGGTTGCCATGGGTCCTGCCTAACCAGGGGCGGGCTCACAGCTGTGCCCCAGTTGAGTGGAGAACTTGGGATGATAAACAGCTGAAAACTGGGACATCCCTGAGGGGCTCTTTCCATAGTCATCCCCAGCCACAAATACCGGAGCTGTGATTTCTAAATCCCAGCCTCCAGATTTCTTTCTGGCAGATGTCTGCATCCTTTTCTCACTGCACTCCTTCAGTTTCTCGGTGCCCCTTCCCAAATTCTCGTGCACAGCATGGGATGACCTTGTAGATTCAGGGCCTGCAGTGAGCAGGCTTATGTCACCCAAAGCAAGAGGCTGCTGAAAGCAAGAGGTATAAAAGGCCAGTCTGGATGGAGCTTGCAGCAACCCAGTCCAGAGTATTGTCCCTGCCCTGGCAGGGGATTGGAATGAGATGAACTTTAAGATTCCTTTTAATCTAAACCATTTTATGAAAGAGAGTCATTCCCATCCTCAGGAAACTGGACCAGTGGATTTCTTGTCTGAAGATGTGCCCATTCATGCCGCTTCCTTACCTCTTTCCAGCAGCAATAAATAGAAAGATAAATCAGTGTTTTCTCAGCAGTGCCCATATCCGGAGCGAGGAAACTGCGCCGGTGTCACGGTCCCTTCAGCCTTTGCAGGAGAGTGCACTCCTGCCATCTCATGGACATCTCGTGAACAAGGAGGAATTTCTCAACAGGAAGAGGGGATTATGATGAATTTTTCTTCAAATCTAGTTCAACAGTCGAGAATTTAGCTAAGTATTAAACAGATTAATTTTTTTTTTTGCCTTTTTGCAGGCTTTTGATTGTGCAGTTTTCATAATGAGCTCAATGTGGTTGTTTCCGATTTGGCCTCGTAGCATCTGGCAGGGAGCCTCCGCCTGAATGTGAGTCTTGCTGCATCCAGATTTGATTCCTTTTCCTTGGCACGGCTTTCCCTCCTGCTGATGGAAGCTTTAAAGAAAAAAAAAAATACCATGACATCTGAAACACTGCCAAAAAACATCAACATGCTTTCTGGCTGCCATCTATTGTGCAATGCAAACCTCTTAAGATTTAATATTTCTAAAACTGCAGTGCACCTGCTTGCAAGAAAAACTACCTTGTCACATGATGACATGTTTTGTTAAATCACTTTAAAAAAAATTATTTATTAGCTTTAGAATCCCTCCCTTTGTCCTTTCTTTTTTCTTCTCCACCCCAAGATTTGTCCATGAAAAAATTCTTCCTCTTAGAATTGTGATTTGTGATTGTATGATGCATTTCCCACTCTCTGCTTTTGATAGATCCTTGTCTTCTATCTACAGTGAGTGGGTGCATTTGTCCTGAAGACACTAGTGCCTGCTAGACCCAAGCACCAGATAAAACCCCAGTTTGGCCCAACTGGGAATTTGCCAGTGCCTGCAAGGTCACGTTGGTTCAACCAGCTCTTCACTACCCATCACTGGACTGAAGAGGGCTCTGCTGTCTGGCCAAACCTCTCTGCCTGCCACAAAAGAAAGTTTCTTCTTCTGTTTGATTTTTTTTTTTCAGTTGCTTTTCAAGGTAGATTTCAGCTCCGCAGGTGCTTTGCTGGGGTGGGAATCTGAAACGAGAGCTGGATGTCGCAGGTGAGCTCAGGTGGGCCAGGGGAGCTCAGAGTGGAGAAGTCTCCTGAGAAACAAGTGGCATCGCTTCATTTTGCTCCCACCTGGTAGATCAAAGTATTTCTCATCGATAACGACTCACAAGTCGCCTTCCAGGTGTCACAGAGATAAGGTGCTTTGCTCAGGTTACACTTTCCTGTTGCTGCACAAACAACGTGTGCTCACTTCACAGGGATTGCTCTTGAAAGACCTTTTCCTAGTTTTCAGAGGGGTGGCAGCATAGTCTCACTTCCATTTCCCTTTGCCAAGTCGTCTTTTGAGTCCCTTCATGCTTCTTCCACCTTCAGAAGATGTAACACCACTAGAGTTTTCCACAAATAACCAAAAAGCCATGTTGTTTTGCTTCACCCAATATCTGGCAACCTGGCCTGTGGGAGAGTGAGGACTGAGCCTAAGTCTGTGATCTCCATCACCTTTATGGTCACTGGTTTTTTCATTGCATTTGGCCTAGTGGAAGGTGTCCCTGCCTGTGGGGTTTTGGAATGAGATAGTCTTTAAGGTCCCTTCCAACCCAAACCATGCTGGGATTCTGTACCTGTTGCACAATGACAATGATCAGAAATCCCCCGGGAGACAAACACAGCCTCATTTCTGTCATGTTTGAGCCCTGTCTGGGATGTTTAAACACTGTTGAGACCATGGGGGGAGATTGTCAGAGGAGTTTAAGAGCCCTGGGCATCTGGCCTCTGGCTGCTGAGCTCCTGGCTTCCTCTGGCCTCTCATCTCCTTCCTCCCACAACCCACAACCTGCTTTTGATTCTCCACAACTAGAAAGGCAAAAGTGCCTGTTCAGGTTTCCTTCCTTCTCTGGCTCCCTAGCCTTTGAGGGAAGGATCCTGGAGAGCTTTTGAGGTGGATGAATTTAGCTGCTCCATCTGAAGAAAAAAAAAATAAACCCGAAGTTCCCTGTTGCTCGGAGGTGCTCCAGGGGGAGGATTTCAGCAGCTGAACATTGTAACTGTGGGTTCCCTCGGGTGGGTCAGAAATAGCAGTCTCTCTTGCACTCATTTTACAAGTGAGGAGCTGAGAAGGCCAAGGAGACCTACTTAAAGTCCTGCAAGAACCCTGCAGTAAAATTCAGTGCTCCAGTCCCTTCAGAGCAGATGTTAGAACTTCCAGTGTCTGCCCTCTAGCAGCAAACTGAGGCGAGGAGGAGTTCACATTGCTGCTCCAAGCTTTGTGTCTGTGTTACCAGCCCCTGTAATGTTTAATTAGAAGAGGTGGACATAGGCAACTTCTTCCTCTTCTTGGCTGTGCATTGTTGCAGGGGTGGGGGGCAGCTCATAGTGACAGACAAATGCACCAGGCTCCCAAACCACCCGGTGCTTTCAGCAGTTGCTGAATGAATGGAGATCTCAGTGAAGTTTGTCCATATTTATCTGTGCTGCATACAGCATATGAGGGTCAGCTAATTACAAGCTGTACCACCACACGCAGAAATGATCCTGGAACAGTTTATTGGAGCAACAGGAAAGCAGGTTCAGGACAGCCAGGGATAAATGCACTAACTATAGAATGTTAATATATGCAGTGCCATTTTGTGACAGGCCATGGGTAAATCCGCCATTTTGGGACAGGCCATGGGTCAGTCCACCATTTTGGGACAGGCCATGGGTCAGTCCGCCATTTTGGGGCAGGCTGTGGGTCAATCTGCCATTTTGGGGCAGGCTGTGGGTCAGTCCGCCATTTTGGGACAGGCCGTGGGTCAGTCCGCCATTTTGGGGCAGGCTGTGGGTCGATCCACCATTTTGGGACAGGCTGTGCATTTGGCCGCCGCCATTTCAGTGTGGCCCACAGGCATGTGGAGCAGCAGCCATCCCACTGACACAGAGCTCGCCCTGCTTCCACCCCCATTTCCCACCTGGTTGTTTTGAGCCAGCCAACCATTCCTCTCCCACACCTTCCCCACGCACAGCCCCATGGGGTGCTCCCTGCTGCACTGGAGCTGTTTGCCTCACCTCTTGCCTCTGTCTCTCACCCACAGCTTGCCAGACTCCCAGGGGAAGATTCAGCAGTTTCAAGGGTCTCCTTCAGAAACAGAAAGACATGTTCCCCCCAGGAGGTGGTGCTTTGGCCAGAATTTCCCCTCAGAAGATGCCAGTGCCCTCAGGCCCCAGGTGCTGTGGCAACTTTGTAGAGCACCACGAGGGGTGTTGCTGTATCGTGCTTGCCCAGAGAGCAAGTGGAGCACCAGTGGTTGCACTCAGGCCAGAATTCGGCTCTCACATGCTTGCTCTACCTACTCTAACCCATGCATTTTGTCCTAAAACAGTTTAAAACCAAATGATGCAGCTTAAAATCTTAAGGACCCATGAAGGAAGAATATGTTACCGTGAGATGAGCTAATGGGACTTGAGCATAAGAATCCTGTAGGAGAGAAAACAAAAGCCAATAAAGGCAGCCTTGGTCTACCAAATCCTTAGGAAGTTGTCTGAGGGACCTTTCTCCCTGCCTGATGTCAACACAATGACAGAAGTCCACTTGAAGGTGTCAACTGGTCAGAGTTTGCAGCAGTGGGAGGAGGGCAGCACCGTGACCTGGGAGGGGGTGATTGAGGCATCCTCAGGGTGGTGGAAGGAGCACAGTGTGTTCTCCAGCAGCCATTCCCTCACAAAGGCACACTCCAGCTCTGTGCGGACGATGATGTCTCTTGCCAGCATCTGCTCCACAGTACCTAAAGCAAGGTGGGAGGTGTGTCCCAAAGACAGGTTGCAGGGAAACAAAGAGGGGGCAGAGAACACAGTCCTCATGAAGGCTCCATCTTTCAAGGGCACTGCTCATCCTGATGGCTGTAGCAGCACCAGGGAGAAATCATTCCAGAAGAGCTCCCTGAAAACATGGAGGAAGTGGCTACCATCCACCACCGTGGAAGTACCTCCACCGCCTCAGCACTTCCTCCTCTTCCTCCTCCACCCCCATGTCACTGCTGGAGCTCTCCTTCTAACTGCTGCTGACATCCTGGCAGCTTCTTTTCTGGAGGCACCAGCAGAGCCCAAAGAGCAGGACAACGACTAGAGAAAGGGCCCAGAACTGCCACAGTCGCAAGACATTCCTGAGCACGGCTCCCCAGGACATGCAGCTCTCAGCTGGGGTTGTCTGCTCCATCTGCTGTGCAGGACAATTCATCTCCTCATCCCCATAGCTCTGGAGAGGGACCAGTTTTTCCAGTTGCCCCAAGGCAGGAGCACAAACATGTGGGGGAGCCTTACTTCCACCATCAGAGAAACCAGAGCCCACCAGAGAAGTGGTTCTGCTGCAAAATGCTCCCCGAGTCTGCAGCAGCTGCACAGCCTCACTCTCTGCCCGTGATCCTGGCAAAGGGATGCACAGACACTCACAGACACAGCATTTGCTCAGGCACCACATTTATGGGCAGCTCGGTAGGGAGTGCAGCTCCCAGAGGGAATGGACTCTCTGGGAAAGGGAGGGCAGTCAGTGTCCAGGTGGGACTGGGAGTCTCTGGTTCCAGGCTCTTTCCACGGCCCCTTCAGCTGTAGAGGAAAGATGCAGCAGCAATTCCCACTGCCGACAGAGCAGCCCTTCTCTGTATCCAGCGCTCCCAGAGAGGTGGCATCAGATCCCTGGGAGGGTTCAGTGTGTGAGATGCATTAAAGGGATAGAAACTGGGCAGAAATGAAACCCCCTTGAGTTCCAACTTGTCATCTGAGAGCTGAAGTGCCAGGTACAAATAATTTCTGATTAGAACCAGTTCAGCAGTACAGGTCTGTTTGAGTTCAATAAGAAGTTGCACAATCCAGATTCTGGAATGTTTTATTGAAACAACAGGAAAGCAGGTTCAGGATTACTGGGGATAAATGCACTAACTGCATGTTAACTACTGTCATGGGTTTGAAAAGAGATGTTAGAACATTTTCCCAAGTGCCCCCCACCCAACCCCACCTGTTTCTTCCCGGATGGGACGGGGGTGGGGTGGGATGGAGCGGGGCCGCACGCGGCGGGCAGCGCAGGAGCAGGGGGAGGGAGGGGGAGCACAGAGAAAGACCGAGAGAGAGAGACCGACCCATCTCAGAGCAAGGTATTCTGCTTTCAAGACTGCCTGTGGGGAAAAAAGGACTTTTTTTTTCGTTGCTGGCTGCAAGCACACATGGCTGCGAGCATCCTTCGAACTGCCGGGACAGTCCTGCCTTTTCCCCGCCTCCCTCCACGGGTTGCCGTGGGTTTCTCCCCCCCCACCTGGCGAACTGGGACTTTGTTTTGTTTCTTCTGAAATTTTTGATTGCACCATTTGTTGTTTATTCAGATTTTGTTAATAAAAAGCTGTTTCTTTTCCTTTTCCACACTTCCACCTGAAGTGTCCTAATTTCTAAGTTGTAATCTTGTTAAACTAATACAACTACTTATAAAGTAACTCCCATTAATATAGACAGTGTCCATGACGAGGTGTGAGCCCCACAAGCGCAGCTCTGTGTGTGAGCACCTCTTTCAGGGGCCATGAGCAGGAGTCCTTTGAGCTGATATCAACAGAGAGATGTTCTCCTGCAGGGCCTCTGGGTGGGCATCCATATCGTGCACCAGGTGCTGGAAGAGATTGAGTGGTTCAACCTCCCATCTCCTCTCTTCCCTCCTCTTGTGAAGAGAGCACAGAGCACATTCTGATGCTGCTGGTGGTGTTGGGACAGGTTGGTGGATGCTCTTCCTGCCATCCCATGGGTCTGACTCCCATCTGAAGTCTTCAGCCCTGAATCAGTGCCTTCAAATGACAGTTATCTCCCCTCCTTCCTTTTCCATTCTGCACTTGAGTAGACCAACATTTCGTTTGCCACAGAACAGACCAGTTCCCAGTTCCCATATTGTGGAGCTTTCTGCCATAAATCAGCCTGATAGGTTTATTCTCTACGTAATGGGAAATTATGACAAATGCAGCTGTATAATCTAGTTAGTAACTCACCATAATGACTGCTTCTGGGGTGATTTATGGGTTTTGTCATATGTGAGCTTTCAGAACATTAGAGATTACATTTTTCACACTTTTTTTGTTGGAATCTCAGTTTATTAGACTTCACTGCAGCATTAATCACTTGCAGTACAACCCTGGACTTCACAAATGTATCAGATCAGCATGAAAAAGGCAGAGAAAACAAGAACTGTTGTGAATTAATGAGCCGGGTAACACATGTCTCACAACCAGTGATGAAACAACCTGTGTTCTTCTTCATGCTGCAACAGAAAGCCCCAAAGTCTGGCTTTTTTTTTTTTTGCACAGGCAGCAGCAAAGAACTGAATCAACACGGCCACGCTTGAAACCTGAAAGATCTGCGAGGCTGAGTCTCTTCTAGCTAATGGTAAAATGATGTGTGAATCTGTCCTAAATGTTCAAATAAAGAAGATTGATTCACAGTTATAATATGGCTTATAAGCAAAACACTGGGATTCTATAGGAGAAATGCATGTGTTGTGAAACAGCCGATAAATCAGAGAGACAGTTCCAAGGTCTACTGTGAAGGTCTGGGAAATGTTCAGAGTTACCATCTATGGAGTTTGATGCAGGATAAACTGGAACAAAAGGCCATCATTACCCGAATTGCTTTGGTTTAGACTGGGGTTTTTTTCTCAGATAATACTGTGTAATACTCCAGAAAATATGTTGTAAAGGTCACCATGATCCATGGGACACAAGCAGGGAGGCTGGGGTTGATGCAACATGTTCCCTGCACTGGGAGGGTGGACAGAGGGCAGGCCTGTTGTGGGGTAAATGAGGAAGTGGGTGTCAGACCCCACCTCAAACCTTGTCTGGACAAAGCCTTGGAATCGCAGAATATCCTCAGCTGGAAGGGACCCACAAAGGTGATCAAGTCCAACTTCAGGCCCTGCACAGGACACCCCAACAATCCCACCCCGCGCCACTGCATGTCCTGGTGGGCAGCATCACGCAGCTGACTGTGGTTTGGGGTGGGTGGGTAAGATGATCCACAGGTGGTGAGGAGTATCCCTGTTCCCTGAGCACCTGGAGAGCTGCAGACACCGATAACTGGTAAGGACACCAGCCAGGGAGGTGACCTGGGGTTGGTGAACTGGTGTCCCCTTTCAACTGCTGCTTTCTGCTAAAGATAACACAGCCTGTTACCAAGCTCTTGTTGCTGAGGTGATAAATGAGTGGTGAGATTCCGTGCTTCATGCCCCTGTTTTTTTCTGCACTACTTTTACTCTCAGCACCGGGAAGGATTGGGCCAGAATGGAGGGGTTTGGGGTCACAGTGCTGGACCTGGGATGGGCAGCCAGGCAGAGCAGCTGGAGGTATCACAAACCCTCTGCCAAAATACAGTGCTGCTCTGTTAACGCAAGATGGGGATACTGAGCCCAACTGTGAATATTGATGGGATGCCACAGTGCTCAGGGTACTTCAGAGGAGAGGTCCTGCTCCAGGCTGAGCTTTTTGGATACTCAGGGAGCAGCTCAGGCACAAACCTTTGCATCTTTCCTGAGCCACTGCTGCTTTCTTAACCCCCTTATTGGGCTGTGCATGGACAGTTGTCTGTGGAAACTTGGACATGAAGGACCATGGATGGGCATGAAATGTGGCCTCCCAGTAGAAACAGCTGGGCTGAACACTCCTTGTTCCAGCTATGAATCTTGGCTCTCAGGAGCAGCAGATTCCATCCTTCATTAAAACAGAGCCTTTTTTTAGTTATTATTTTGAGGAACACAAAGGACCTTTCTTGTTTATTTTATTAGCATTTTTAATTACTTTTGTTTGGGCAGTGCAGGGCACTCATTGCATGAGAAGCATGAAATGTTAGATACTGCTGAAGTGGGGCATCTGCAATGAGATGTAAGTGTTGAATCTCCTGTTAGAGGTTTGGAGGTGTGGCAGTCAGAGGCTCAGGTCCTTCAGTGATCAGCAGCAAATGGGAGACAGGCACTGCACAGACACAGAATGTAACATAAATCATGGTCAGATTTTCTCTGTCAGGTAAAAGGAACTCTGCTTGTATGTGTTGTTTTGATTTTAAAAACACAAAAAGGAGACCAAAACATGCACCCGAGTTTTCTTCTTCAGCTTGATACAGGCTGGGAAAAACTGTTTCCATGAGTTTGTTGCATTCATTCCAGACTTCAGGCACTGATACTGGTCCTGAGCAGGAGGCATCGCCAGCTTGGATGAAATTTGGT